TCTGTGGCAAACACCAATGTCATTTCACAACAGCAGCCCACCCCTGGGCCACGAGAGAGGGTCTTAGCTGAGATCGAGTCATGCAAGTAAATAAACCCCAAGTCCACATCTGATTAGAGCAGATATATGGGAGGTATGAACAGGACTGGCCAGATGCTAGACCATATGATAAACACCGAGGATCATGGCATCATATAAAACTGGGCATTTATATGGTACAGCTGGCTATGCATAATCTTCTCCTAATTTATAAGGCTGGAGCATCTGGTCCATTGCTGTTGCTCTATCAGCTTTTCCAGAGCCCTGTTCTTGAATTTCTGGTAGCTGAATACTGCTCTTCTGAGTGCCAGTGGAATGGGAAGTTAAAGCTATTTACAGTGGGAGATAAGCGCTTAACTCCATCTGACAGATAAGATAACGTTCAGCCATGATCATGAAAGAAAGAAGGGTAGGCTCTCATGGGATGGGCTCCACTTTGCACGATCAGTAACTGCAAACCCTAAAAGACAAAATAATCTTTTTCGTATTGGTGGGACCCTCAGCCGTGACACAGGGACTTGGCCAGATGAGGCCATTGCGACAGACGGTGCCCGTGACTGCTGACATCCCCCGGTGACGCAGCAGGCGAGGGCTTACAGAATAAATTGCACAAGTCCTGCTTTTGTTACACTGCTTGGTCTTCCCCACCCTACGCCTTAGCCCTAGAAGCCAGCATTTATTTCTCTCTTTCCTGAAACAGAAGCTGGCATTTGGCACTTTGTTAGAAAATGCCTGCTCTGTAAATGACTAAAGAACCAAGAGAAGGGAGTTTTCAGGTGAATCTTGCCAAATTATGGCTGGAAGGAGTCAAGCCAACGATGTAAAGGCGTCCTGCACTGCGTGGTGTGCAGGTGCCCAAACCACTGCGGAGCCTCCTGCCAGCCCAGGCAGCTCTGGATGGGGGGACCCACATCAGATGGTCTCCTTGTGCCCATGAGGAGGAAGAGGAAGGAGGGCTAAACCTCACTGTTCCAGGTATTTCCAAACTGCCCTGCCTGCAGGAAAGCCCCCGCTGTAGTTTAAAGAGCTCTTCCTCCATTCCACCCTGACGGAGATGTAAACAGCAGTGCAGCATACAGGCTAAGGCACAAAGAAGTTGTTTTTAAAAAACGCCAGCGTTACCAAGGCCATCTAGAAGCTGTGGGTGCAGACCACCCAGCCGGTATACGCTACAGCAAAGCATCTCTCCCTGCAGGAGCCCCATCCTGGGAGCACGTCTTGGGAACAGGCTGCTACTGCTGGTTGCAGAGAAAAAAATACAGCACCGGTCCTTTTACCAAACCCTTCCCCAGTAAAATTACATGTCAGAGCAGGGCTGAAAGGAAATGTGCATTTCGAATGGAAAGAGAAAATTGGCTTTTGCACAACACCATGAGGTTGACAAGAATAAATCCTGGTACCGTCAGAATGGAAGTGGGGTGTTCCTGCAACCCTGGCGCTGCTTTCTGTAAGCCTGCGTTCTTGCTGAGGAAGTGAAATCTGGTTAGTAAACATAACAGCACAAGGCTTCTTCAGACCTTTTATTGTTTTCCCCAGTATATGTGCTGCACATTTTTTATAATTTTATCAAATTGAAAAGCTTCCAGGTTTCCAGCGTCCCCATAGATCCATAGCAGGGCAGCTGCTGCCTTTCTAGCCAGGTCTGAACGCTTCAGGGACTCCAATGGCTCTGCCTCTTCCTCTTTATTTTAAAGTCGTCTTTAAGATTGGAAATCCCTAAAGAGTTTCATCCTCTGCAGCTGACATAGGTACAGTATCCGTATTGTCAGAGTCTGTTCCCTGACCAGGGTTAGTAGATGTCACCTTAATAAAGCTTTATCTTAATGTAACAATGGCAATGTGAGCTGCCCTAAGGAAAGGAGTGAATTTGAGAAAGGACTTACTACAGATCTTGTTTTCAGGCTCTGATAAACCCCAAGTGGATGAAGACGCCATGCAGACAGGCTATTTCTTAATAATTTGCCTGGACAGTTTTATTGTGGTTCTGCCCAGTGCAAGCGAGGCAGCAGGGCAGTGCTGGATCTGAGATGTGTCTACTACACAGAGATTTAATAGGCCTCGCTTCCCTAAAAAGCTTACCTAAATTAAGAAACTGTGGGGCATGGATGGGGCAAAACAACTGGAAGAGATGGGAAAGGAGCACAGAGGGAAGCGTGGTGAAAGAAACCTGGTTTTATGTGACCCAGCTAGATGCCTGCAAATCTAGTCATTCAAATGTATCATGTGTTAGAATCAGATGGTGGAAATATTTAGTATGTAATGCCCTCGCTCATTCTGGTAAAGGCAAGAGCGGCCAGCCTTCGCTTACTTAAGCGCCACCTCCTCCCGAACACCTACTGCCGGTGTCCTGATGCGGCTCTCGGGGTGCTGCCTCGGCGTTAGTGACCGACCACGAAAAAGGCTCTGGATGTGGCTTAAGTGAACTCAAGGTCTGTCACTTGAACTGAAACCGATCCACCTTTGTGTATGTGAATTAAGGGAAAAGTGGATATTACGTAGCAGGGAGCTCTATTTTTCCCAGGGCTTGCTTTGCCCTCTTGGGTCTAGCCCACTCTTGCCTCCCCTCATTTAATTTGCAATAACAGAGTGCAGGTAAGTATTAGGGTTCTCATTACTTACAGACCTTGGAGATCTGGAAAAGCCACTTCACCTCTCCATCCTGGCGTGGCTTAGTGGCTATCTACCCAGACCTTGCCCAAGAAATCTTTTCCCGTGTGAGATGAAGACTGGTAGGAGTAAAATCATTAGAAATCACAGGTGGTGGTCAGTTTTTGTTCATCATTTACTGTGAAATGGTTGAAAGAGAGGGCTCTTCCCTTTAACTGTCTGTCATTCATTGACTGAAAGCGAGGATCTTTTCTGTTTCAGTTTAAATGAGCTCCTGCCTAATCACGTACTGGTTTCACTATCAGAAATGTTATGTTGAGGGCACTTTGAAGACATTGCGAATGTGGGGTATACTCCGGTACTGTACAGTTCTTATTTTAAAGAAAGGACACTTTTTTCATCTTCTGTTGCAACCTTTGTTCTAGAAGAAATCAAATATCTGAAACTTCTTTTTTTATGAATTTTATTTTAATTCCAAGGCTTAAAATAGAAAAATCCCAGAAACAATCTTAAGGATATTTTCACAAATGCTTTTTGCACATGTATTTTTTTTTTAATATTACAAGACTGTTTCTTTTGTAAATGCAAATATATACCATTGTAAATTGTAATATAGGACATACAAAGAATCCTTGTCCTTTGTGTAGCATAAAATGATTGTGATGAAGCAAATCATTTAATGCAGCAAAGGTCAATTTAAAAAGTATCCAAGTATGTATTCCAGACATAGACCACAGGTGTTGATTTACAGCTGGATCTGTGATGGGAAGCTTCTTCTACCGTCATCCCCGTAACTGGGAAGAGAAAGAGAATTGCTACTGGAGTGCGCATTTAAGCTGGATGGTATTCAATTTGACTGAGAATGCAACACATGCCATTTGCCTGCATCCCTCCTGTACCTCTGCAGGCTGTTCAGAAGTCCAGCTCTAACCTGAGCTTCCAGCCTTTTACAGTACTAGAAAAGCAAGCAAAAATGCAGGAAAGTCACCTAGAATAATAGAATCGTTATGGTTGGAAGAGACCTCAAAGATCATCAAGTCCAAGCGTATACCCGATGCCACCATGCCCGCTAAACCCACTAAACCATGTCTCGAAGTGCCACATCTAAACGTTTTTTGAACACCTCCAGGGATGGTGACTCCACCACCTCCCTGGGGAGCCTGTTCCAATGCCTAACGACTCTAACAGTGAAGAAGTTCTTTCTAACATCCAACCTGAACCTCCCCTGGCACAACTTGAGACTGTTTCCTCTTGTCCTGTCACTTGTTACATGGGAGAAGAGACCGACCCCCACCTGGCTACCCCCTCCTGTCAGGTCGTTGTAGAGAGCGATCAGGTCTCCCTTCAGCCTCCTCTTCTCCAGACCAAACACCCCCAGCTCCCTCAGCCGATCCCCATCAGACTTGTGCTCCAGACCCTTCACCACCTTCGTTGTTCTGAGAAACCTAGAAACTGGCTCCCTCCTTAGTCTCTTGAGACACTGACGAAGTCTCAAGAGACCAACGTTACACATCATATTATGAAGCAGAAGAAAGAAAATCTCTTAGGGTACTGAACCGAGAACAGAAGCACAGGTTCCAACTTTGACGCTTTCCCAGTTTTCCTCTGCTACCCCTAAAAAGGGCCCAAATCTGAGCTTGCTAAGGCCCATGACAGTGAAGTCAGCCTTGGTTTAGCTCTTTATACACTCCGAGCCTTGGCATCTGTGAGGCAGGATTGACAGTAACTCTCTGCTGGGCATATGGTACATGAGGATAGTCCAGTGATTGAGGTAAGTAAACAAACAGATCTTTCAGACCAGCTAACTGAGCTAACTCTTGCGTTTTGGCTCATGGAAACTCATGAAATTTGATAGCTGATTTATTTTTAAACATATTACACCTAAAGAATGGCCATGAAAAGACAACAGGCTCATTTGAATTAAATACATCAGATGAATTCGGGAACAGAATTGCAGAGCTTGCGGCAGAATTGCGTGTTAATAAAGCTAGAGGTCACTCATTTTCCTAGTTAATTATTACCTGGCAGCAATAAAAACTGGTGAAAGCAATACTATGTATAACGACTAAAAAAAAAGGAAGAGGACGGTTTCTGAGGACCATGCCAGCATGCAAATGATTACCCACACCATTCCTCTCATCTCCTTGGCCGTATCACTCTTCCCTGGTGTGAAGGCAGCCGAGATGATGTAAGAACTCGGGCTAATATTGTCGTATGGGATGGCAGTTTTTATGCCATGCCTTTTTTTTCTCCTTTTGGAGGGTATCTGCCTTTGGTGAGGGGACAGCTCTCAACTCCCAGAGTCATCTCCAGTCTCAGCCGGTGACTCACCTGTGGCGGCGGTGCCAGTCCCGTCACTGCAGCACGGTGCATTGCCTGCTGCTGTAGGCACTGCTGCGCTCCAGCATCGGCACGTACGTCTTAGCCACGATGCAGTAGCTGACTCCGGGCCTCAAATCTTCTATTTTAATAACCTTGTCTTTTCCTTCGTACACCAGGACTCGGTGTCGCTTCAGACAGAGCAGAGTACAAACAGCCAGTCAAGCACATTTCCCTAGCAAGTGTGTCTGTGAGTAAAGTTTGATAAGACCAGAGGATGCAGAGCAGCACGTGGGCTTGCACAAAATCAGTAGTATTAATAATTTATTTACGATTTTTAAAGAAAATTTCCCCCTCTCCAAATTCCCCTCCTGTCCCAGTTTTTTAAGCTGAGTCTTAGAGTATGAAATACTAAGTTGATAGGAAAGAATAAAGGGAGGAATTACAACTCAATTCAATCAAATTCAATTCCTGAAAAATCACCCTGCTTTGTTTTCAAATACTTGGAGAGTCATCGATGCTCTCACAATCCCAGAAGCCTATTTCAACTGCGAAACAAGAACGGTGTGCCTGTAGTTTCCTGGCTTTTCAGTGGTAAAAGGTTCATATCCGAATATGCACTTACCTCGTCTAGCAAGTTGTTAATTATGAAGACTTGATATAGCAGATCATAATAATTTGTCATTGGTATCTTGCTGCCTCTCTTCCTTCTATAAGGAGAACGTGGAGCCTGGAGCTTCAGTAGTATGGATTTGTTGCTATGAACCACAGCTACTGTCGGAGGTCCTATCATGGCTAAGGAAAAAACCCAAAGCTATGAACACCATTATAGTTTACTAATAACATTTCACACAACGTAATTTGAATGGATTCAACAATTTAATGTGCTTGTTACCAACACCACATTATGCTATATTTACTGTTAAAGTGCCACTTTGTAAATCCTTACTTCTTGGTGGTTATTGCTTGGGACACTTTGCGAGTGACGTTTCCCGTGTTTGTAAGTCTATCTTTGAGCCAAACTTTTTGAAATCTCTCAGACCTGCATGTTGCTGTTGGCAGGCTGGTCAAGCAAAATGCTTTGGATTCTTAAAAAAATTCCCCGCCCCCCCCCCCCCCCAGTATCTATATCTATCTGTGTGCTTGGACTGCATAAAACAGCTATTTGAACCATTTCAGTTATGCCAAGGACGCAGCTTCAATCATTACTTTCAAAGTTTTTGCAATTTGCTTGGTTAAACCCAGCTCAGCGTTCAAGCTAGTGCCTGCATACCTGACGGGCGTGCAACCCCAGAGATGTGGGGAGAGAGGAGGGCAGCTGCCCCACGCCTCTCTCCAGGAGGAGGAGGTGGCACAGGGCAAGCTGGGCTGATGCTGCTGCAAGGCACTGCTTTATCTCAAAGCTTGTGGTTTCATCGGTCACTGCTTTATCTCAAAGCTTGTGGTTTCGTCGGTACAGGAGGCTCCAGGTAGTTTGCACTTCAGGGCTGTGCAGTGCCCTGCATTGACATTCACAATTCCATTTTACATTGACCAGTGAGGAAAAATTGGTTAATTCACGAGGAACTTACTGGTGGGTACGCTGGTACCGTTCAGTGTTTTGACAGTCCTCCAGTTTCTAACACCCTATGGCATTATAATGACTGTACGAACTAAAAGCTTTGCGCATGTCCTTTCTAAATACACTGCAGGCAGGAAAACACATAAATGCGAGAAGAATGGTGGCCATGCAGCTCTCGGCTCTCTTCTCCCTTTTCCCCCCAAGCAGAGAACGGTTCCTTCTTTTCCACCTTGTGTCCAGTCCTTCCAGCAGCTCCAAAACCAGCTGAAAATAGTTTGTGTAGTTCCACGCCTTGAGGAAGAGGTTGAGCTAAAGGGAGCTGGGCACTTCTAATCCCCTAATGATTGATAAGTGGCTACTTATCCATCACTGGTTGGCTTTCAAGCCAAAAATTATTTTATCACAACACTTCACCTGAGAGCTACTGACTCGCAACTTCTTTTGGTACAGCTTTGTGGCTAGGGGAGGATTACTCATGTAATTTGTTTGCAAATTGTGAGCAGAAATGATATATTCCGTGTCACAGAAAATCCAGTTCCTTTCTCGGAGACCCATGTGTTTGCACTTACTTTCTCGCCAGGGAGTGAATCTGCAGCTGAGGCTCCAGGCGGAATAGACGCCAGCTGACGCGGCTTTCACTCTGCCGTAGTAAGGCTCTCGGATGTCAGAGGTCTCCCTCGTTAGGTCACAGACGTGGTTTTGAATCCCCCAGCAGTCGGCTTTGTTTTGCCACGTGCTCTGCCCATACCTGCGGAGAAAGAGGAGGAAGGATGTAAGCTTTAGCTATCGCCACCTGGATCCGTACAGATTTTGAACCGTTTGTTTTCACTCGTGGAAATTAACTCCCTTCAATTTGATGACAGGGAAGGCTGATTTCATGGGCGTTTGGGAGCTGCAGGTTTCTGTCTTTTCTGAAAGAAACCTAAAGCAGAGCGGTGGGTCGCCAGCCCTGTAGGAAGCCACCGCATATTTGCCCCTTCGGGAGAGGCGGGCGAGCTTTGGCTTAGCCGATGTGTTCAGTGATGGACAGAACGCCGGTTTCCACCAGCTAATTTCTCAAAGGCAGTTGTGATTTTAGGTGCTCACCGGGTGTGCCAGGGATGGGAGCGTACCTCCTCTGAGGATCAGCCCCTTGCGCTGCCTCATGTTGGCCATGCAACACACCCAGTGGCACTGTCGTGGGCAAGGTGGGCCACCAAAATAACATCACATGTCCTATTGCAGAAGTACGTGACCCAGCTAGACCTGCTTCAGGCAGGCGGTTGGACTCGGTGATCTCCAGAGGTGCCCTGCAAACGACATTTTTCTACAGCTCTATGTTGCAATGAGGGTGCAGAGCGCACCTTATGGGTACCTTCAGTGCACCTTATGGGCTATTGATAAGCCCAGCAACACCCGAGCGCTGGCAGGCGAGCAGAACGTGGCTGTTCCCCAGGAACGGGAAGAACATCCCGTATCACCCGAGAAATCCCTTTGACGTGCCAAGCAGGGATGGGCCCCAGCCCAGCGGGAGGCTGGAGTTCCCCCGTACTCACACTTTATATTGCACAAAGTAGACGATGTCTCTGGCCCCTCTGGCCGTCCCAGGCTGCCAATGCAAAGTGCTGTTGAAGTTTAATGAACGAAACTCGACCTTCTGCGGCTTAATTGAATCTTGCAGGTCTCGATTTTCCAAAACCAAAATCACTGCAAATAATAAGGGACGATCACATAACATGTTTGTCACAGACACACTCCTCCGTATTGAAATCGGGGGGTATTGCTACAGCTCATTTGGTCTGATGACTACCAGATTGCAGGGAAATTAAATCTCCTGGATCTCATGTTCAAAACTTTCCAAGCCACAGTGACCAGATCTAGCAGTTACAGAATAAACACATTTAGTATTATGAAAGGAACTCTTTTATATGGTTTGGTGGTTTTTGGTTTTGTTTTTTGTGTTTTGTTTGTTTGTTTGTTTTCTTTTTTCTTTTCATTTTTCATTAGCGAGTTTACTGCTGTGACAGATGCCTGATGGACATCCCAGGAAACAAACCCTGCGGATCAATTCACAGCGCCTGCAGTAAGCAGCCTTGTCAGTAGTTAAAGTCGAGTGCTCTTTCCTCCACATCTCGGCTTTAACCTGCAGAGATTATAGCTGTTTTAACTGTTGCCACAGCTGTGTTTATCAGCTCTTGCCTAACAAAAAAAATAACCTGAGATTCACTGTGTTTCCAGTCTGCACTGCTGGAAAAAGCTGTCTGACAATTTTCAAGATAATCTGTTTTCAAACCGCGGTGGTTACTGATGACAGAATCAGTTAACAACCTCTCTGAAGCATCCAAATCCTAAAATTTTTCTGGGTTTCGTGACCCAGACGACTGCAGCTTTATCCCTGGCATATCACAGAATCAGGTAAGACTTGTACTAGTTGAACTGAAACTCTTAATACAGCCATCAATAAATTTAATAGGCAACGTGCTTGCTTTATCTGCATTTCAGAACCTTGAAAGACAAAACAACAGACTAATTTGGAAGTGACTGGGCTTTTGAAACCCGCTGAAAGATCCAGAGATTTCTTGACTCATCCAGAGATTTGCTAACAGACCCGGCGACCCCTCCCCACGTAGGAAAAGAGCAAAAAGCCTTGACTTACTGGTTATCTCCTCCTGAAGCAGGGGCATCAGTAAGCAGAGGGAGGAAAGCGTGATCCCCCTCATGCTTAGGAGAGCAGCTCCATGACTGAGGAGCATCTCTCTTCCTCTTGGGCATGTCTTATGAGGAAGTAATTGTTAAAGACTCCAGAGTTCCCCTTATTTTCAGCGGTTTCCAAAATCCCCGGTTTGGCTTTGGTTTAATTTAGCTGAAAAACATATGAGTTGCTCTAAATTAAACATAAGCATTTGTTCTTAGTTGGCAGCTGTGGTCACTCGGAAGTTTGGAATTAATTACGAAGCAAACCAGCATGTAAAAGGTCCTCCTTTTTTTAGGCACTAATGCCCAAATGATGTCTGGCAATATTGCTTTATGCCATAAATTTGTCACACAAGTTTGCTTGCCTGCCATGCTAAGATTTTTATTTATTTATTTAAGGTGTTTGTTTGTTTGTTTGTTTGTTTGTTTTCCAGCTCATTAGTCGCTCAGAGCTGAAGAACGCGAGAAATTTTGCTGCAAACATGTAAAAGACCTACCCATGGGATGTCATCCGACTTGGTGGCTTGTCTTCGGGTCAAATGCAAGCGGATGGAGTTTGCAGATGTGTTCACGGCAGGACGTCATCTAGGAATATACCGTCAGAGGAACGAGGGGCTGTGGAATCGCTGCCAGCCGTGCTGTTGGGCCCCATGTCCACACCACGCCGGCTGCTGGAGAGATGCTGGGAGGCTGGGACAGCCGGAGCCGGGACAGCCTGCGGGCAGGGCACGGGGAGGTGAGCCCAGCCCATCGGGCCAAAGTGCCGCTCCGCGTTGGACTTTCAGACTGCCAGGAGTCATATGCCCCGAGCGGTGCGGGTGTGCCACAACGCTGCCTGCACAAATATTGGCGTTTGTCATCGCGGTCCTCTGAGTGCTGCCTTTCTGATGTGCACATCCCTGTGAGCCTGACCCCAGGGCCAGGGATGCCGGGGCTCCCTGGTGAAAGCGATTTCACTTTATGTTTGTAAATGCTTTAATGTCCTGTGCATGCCTGCCTGGTGGGAGCCAGGCTTTGTGCTCTGGGGATGTACGGAAAGCTCAGCCGAGTCGGTTGCTGGTGGCAAATGTGGTGCCACTGGAGGCAGGTGGGAGGCTGCTGGCCCTCCTGCCCAGCCTTCCCTTCACTCTTCTCTCCCCAAAATCTGCCTGCTGCTGACATCCACGCATACTTCGCCGCTCACACACTGGTGCATCTGGGCAAAATTCAGGATGTATTCTCCATTTGCAAGCTCAGGTTGACAAGCAAGAAGAGAAAACCTGAATTTTGTATGACATAGCGCAGCACTACATAATGATGCCCACCAAAGAAATTACAGACGTGAAGATGACCTGTCTGCAGAAATAAAAATTTGTCTAACAGTCATCTTTACTTTAGGAAAAGGTGGAAGCAAAACAACTGTCAGGTTAAAAAAGTGGATGTTTAAAGGCAACCAGTTATACTCGGCAAACTGGACAACATCTAATCGAGAAGCTGCCCTCGGTCACATACGTGGGCAGAGGCTCTCAGTTCAGCTGACCACCTATATCTCATTATCCCAGCACTCAACCTGCAGCAGATACATTAAAATGCTAGCTGTGTAGCTTTGAATAATTAACTAGTTAACCCAATTAAGAGAATTAAAGAACTAGGAAGAAATGTAGGGGGAAAAAAAAATGGAGGTAGAAGGCAGAAAGACCACCCTGCCATTACTGGCTGGGAATTTTTTATCTATCCATTTCCCAAACACATTTTCAAAATCCAGTGACCTTTAAGTAGTTCCCCACACCAAATGCAATTAGTATTTCATCATGTTATATGAGCTCAAGTGCGGGAATAGGGAACTTTTATAAACTAATCACCAGGCTGAAATGTCATCAAAGTTTACTCACAGGTTGTGTATTTGCTTACTTGAATTGTACCAACACACCTTCCCGTACCCTGCGGAACAGCCCACTGCCAGGAGCTGAACCGTGGAGCTTTGCCAAAATTGCTTTCGATGGCAGTTCCTCGTACGAACGCCGAGGCAAGGGCCAGCCTGCCCTGCACCGGCGGGTTTCGCTGATAAAAGGCTGCTCTGCCGTGTGGTGAAATGGGGAAAGAAACGCCTATCCCGGGGAAAAACTCCGGGTTTCCTGCGTGCTGCACTCTGATAGCGCTTTACCTGCGATTGGGCTTGGCCCTCCGAAGCAATCGAGAACTCATCACATCGTTTCTGTGATTACTGAAACAGCTGCTGGTAATCCCCAGGTTATTAGCATCCGCAACACTGCCTTACTCATCAACTTCAGTCGTGCTTCTTCAGTGCTTTGTGCGATAAAAATAGCTACATAGAAGTACCACGTACGCACACACGTATGTACAGGCGTGTACATACATACCCATCTGGAGTTTCACAGATTACACATATAGTACATTTAAAAATGTCAGCAATTGAGGAACACTATGGGGTGACATGCACTGCAATGCTATTTATAATGAGTGAGAACTTTTAAAAAACAATACTGTTTAAGAATACTTTGACCAGTATTTTACAAAGAAATGGAAAATGAAAATGTATTCCTTTCCCCATCAGAGTCCACATAAGTAGTTAGGCTACTAGCTCATCCTAGCTCACATCTTTTTGATCCAAACTTACGTGAAACAGCAGTACTGATGTTTCTGTAGAACCGTGGGCATGAGAACATTCCCATTCCTGGAATAAAAAGCTATCTGAGTGCTGGGTAAACAAATTGATTTCTCTTGAGGATTGGATATTGCTACATGGAGGTAAAAGTCAAGTACGTTCTTGCTGGAAGCTGCCTGACTCATCCAATCTGATAGCACCACCTCACTGGGTTTGGGTTTTTTTTTCTTTTTCCCTTGAAGAAGTTGTTTCCCATCCATAAAAGGAGAAAATTTAACCCTGCAACTGCTTCTGCAGCACCACCTTTGGCTTTTCAGATGTGAGTCTCTGATATTTGCAGTGGATGCGAGGGTGGCTTTCGCTTGCAGGCCTGGATGAGGGTGCGGGAAGATGAAAGGAGGGGAGAAATTCCCGAAGAATACAGAGAATGCTGCCAGCAACTGGCAGAGGCCAGACACGTCTCTCGTGTCTCATTTCACACGAACGGACAGTAACAGATGAGTGGCTCAGATTATTCTGGACCTAAAGACTACTCTCAATTACAGCTGTAGTTTTCAGTCTTCTCCTCTTTTAAGCAGCCAGCATGGACTCACAGAAAAGAACCTGCCCTGGGAGGGAGCTCCGGAGGTCTGCCAGCCCAGCCTAACGCTCAGAGCAGGGCTAACGGCACTTTTATCCCACCCTTAACCACTTCCAGTGCGAGTTTTTGCCCCACGCATCTAAGTGGGATTCCCCCGCTAGCAACCTATGACACCTGCTTTTTGTGTTTCAATTGGGGGCCTCGGAGAAAAGTCTTTTCTGCCAACGTTCATCTATTTGCCAACCGCAGCGAGATCCCCTTCTCTCCCAGCTGAAGGGACCCAGCTCCCTCGGCCTCTCCCGGTGCGTGACGTGCGGCAGGGCAGCCCTTCGCCAGCTCAGCGGGATGGGGAAAATGAATCACTACACACAAGAAAAAAAAAAAACAAAAAGAAAGGAAAAAAAAAAAAGAACCCCTCCAGTCAGGCAGGAGGGACTTTTTGGTTTTGTTTTTTTTTTTTGCCTGCCTTTCAGGGAAGAGGCATTGCATTGCATCACGGAGGTTCTTACGGAGAAGTTTCTGAGGAAGCAAGGCTGACTCTCACTGCCCAGCGCGTGCCTTCACTGCTTCCTGCCCACAGGTACGAACTGTCCAGCTCTCACTCTTAACGGCCTTGGGTCAACATTTTGAAGACTACGGTTAGAAATTCCCAATGCTGTAGCTGCACCTTGATACTGAGATATTTGAACGTATTAAAGATTACGATCCACTGAAGGCTCACTGTGTAGCAAGTCATTATTTGCACATAGGATGTACTGGACGCTGAATTACACCAGAAAGTTAGTAACCAACACGAACGTTCACTAGGAACTGCAGGTAATACCAACCCCAAAATAACTCAAAGCCTTTTAATTAATCGGCAAAGTTTCCTTAAAATTGTCAGTTTTTCTCATTTGCAAAGCCATATGAATTTATTTTTTTTCCACCACTGAGGAGTGCTGTACCTTGTTTAAACCCATTGAGAAAAGACCCGCTTTTCTTTAGGTTGTGGACCCCTCACCAAATCATCTACAGACAAAACCCCATCAGTTTAGAGACATGTGCAATTAATATTCCATAGTCTGCTGGTTTTGCTTAAGTAATCTTAATTATACTATTAAGAAAGGTGCCAGGTGATCACTTAGCCAGCAGAAACCACAGATAAGCCTGGAGAGGTACAACACAAACATTGCTCATGCTTTCTTGGTCCACCTACTAAAGTAAAGAACTCAAAGCCTGGTAGCACCGATGCTCGCCCTCTCCGACACACGGTCACCAGAAGCGGCTGAGGCAATGCCTGAAATATTACCAGCATGGGTAGGACACAACCCATGCATTGATTTTTTTTGTAGGCGATGGTTGGAAGTCTCTGTCCAGACCACAGACGGTGTGGGCTGACCCACCACGCAGCATGAGAAGAGCAAGAGGTTGACATGCGCGCGTTGGGGGAAGAGATGGACGGAACCAGGATGCCTGCCTCCATGTCTGTAGTCAAGGCTTGGGATGCAGAAGGAGCAAACGCTTCTGGTAGCTGCTTTGGGCAATAAAACCTGGAAATATGCAACCTCCAGGGGTTTCCCTGGCCAAGGAGAGGGGAAAAAAAAAAAGAAAGAAAAAAGAAACCGTCTTTCACTCCTCTCTTCTGCAAGTGGAAGTTGGTGAGCATTACACTTTCTAGCCTGTGGCTCACTTCTGTGGTTCTCTTCGAATTCTCAGTATCATCTCTGTATCATCCAAGGAGTGTGAACACCAGAACAGGACTCTATTCTAACAACAATCTTCACCACCACCATCTCTAAATTACTGTTGAATTTGTAAACATACTGTCATTTTACAAGTTTGTTTTTGTTTTGTTTTTTTTTAATACAACATCTCAGATCTTGTGTGGCTACAGT